TTCTCTGGTATACTATCCCTTTATTTCGGCAAATTTCTACTATTTTTCCAGCGATCCGCGGTGCCTGGTAGAGGCTATGAAATACATGATGATGAGGACTACGATGGTGTTAACTCTTGTAGGAGGAACTCCGTATAGCGGAATGAAATCAGGACTCCTGTTGAGAAGACTACGCGAAGGATACAGGATGCCAAAGCCAAGGAACTGTGATGAAAACTTGTACGTTTTGCATTGACCTTATATATACGTGTGTCCAATAGCTGCACCCTTCAATTTATCACTCTGTAAAAGCACTATACTATAACCATCTCTACTAATAGTTTCCTTGTTCAGATTGATACATTATGTTTCTAATGGTTTAATATGACTTATGAACAAAAATAAAATACTAGTAAAGCTGTAAGGCTTTCTATCTAGCAAAATTACAGTCAACGAAACAAAGAATCATAACGAAAAGACATTAATAACATAATTTCATACAAGTGCCGACATATTGTTCCTAACCAGGTACCAGATGATGCTGCAGTGCTGGCAGCGCCGTCCTGAGGACAGACCGACCTTCTCTGACCTGGTGGAACAGCTCAAGGGCATGATGGAGGACAAGAGCGTGAGTATACAATTCTATTGGTTAAACATCCGTGTCTAAACTGTATTTAGGGTCATCACCGAAGGAAAACTTATTGTTTTTGCTCAGTTTCTTCCTCTTCTTCCATTTAAAACAAATGAGGTAAATGCCCAGGGCTAGATGCCTGTCACCATGGTCACGGTTGTTAGGCCACATAATGTTGAAAGTGCCATGCAGAACTGAGTTCAGGAGGGGCTGCATGGTCACCATATATATATGTGAATGCGTTTGGTTTAGAACTATATATATGACAGTGATTGGTTTAGAATAAACAAAGCAATAGTTGGTTAAGCTGGACCGTGTGAAGGTAAACATGATGCGTTTGCTTTGCAAATGTTAGCTTTCTACTGATCATTGTGATCTGTGATATTCTACAATTTTTAACATTGCATGCATGGGATATATGCAACAATGCACATGGCTAATACACATGTACGCATTAAGATGTCAGATTGTAAAACTTAAGTAAAAATTTCTGGAATTTTACCGGATAACTAAAGCATTCAATTGTTACCAGTAGTTTGAATTGGCGAGATTTTCATGTGAGCTTTACGTCTTGTTTCAGAGCTACGTCAACATTGAGAACGATGACGACTTCGAGTATGAGGTTATTGACTCTGATGACAATGATGACATGGATGATGATGATGCCTTCTCAGGATAGGAAGAACAGGTTGACTTCTGTCTACATGTCAATGTGTCTGTGTCGTTAAAGTGTGTTTTGTCAGCTACAGTATTTTTTTTGTTTCTGTGAAGTCACTTTTAATACAGTTGATTATGGTTGGTTACACTTTGTAATCAACAACGTTTACCATGTTCAAATTACTATACTAGAACTTATTCAAAGAAGTCGCAAATATTTTCCCAAGTTTTTAATACCTCAACCAACAACAAAATACTATATTATTGCTAAAGTCTCCCAACCCATTTATTTTTCAAAGAGTCGGACAATTTATCTCACATAGCCTCCTGATAAGATGTAAAAACCCCTAATAGCATGGCAAGAATAGTTTAATAGAATAGACTAGATTAGAATAGCAGTTACCTTGTTCCTCTTACCTGTTCATATATTGCATATCTACTGTTTATCCTGTATGTATACCAACGTTATTAGATTTAAGTAGAGATAGTAGGTTTGATAAGTATATCGTACACATAGAACTTCATATTAGCAAATAGTCATCACATTTTTCTTGTCATGTATGTTTGCAATTAACTCTCGGGCATGAATTTGCAATAAACAACTTCATTATAATTCCATAGCACATCATGAGTATTGATGTTTAAATCATTCAAGTAAAACTGCTTATGTTTCATTGTTACAAATGCACATATGCTTGTAAAATGTTCTGATGCTACATGCATGCCTTGCAAGGCTTCGTGCTGTCTGTATGGGAATGGGTTCCAGTGGATTCTTTTACTTGCGTGTTAACTGTATACTTACTACAATAACACTTGGATTGAGTTAATCTGTCATTGAGTTAATTGTTCATTTGTAATTATGTTTCGTCAACGTAATTAATAATCACATTTACATGACTACATATCAGTGTGGGTGTGGTTTAGTACTGTTATTACTTGGTCAGCTGTACAGTCACTGTTTTGCATCCGTGACTTTTTTTACACATACGTAATATACTATTAGATCTTATTGGCTGTCCATCGTCAAGCGATGATGGTTATTGATAATGGTTTAAATCAATTGCGTTTACCTTCGGTTTTACCTTCGGATTCATAATGTCATTTTTAAATCCGTCGCCCAGCTTTAGTACTTATGTTTACATCATGCAAGTAAAATGGCGATAATCCAATGAGCCAAATAACACTTGTATATAGACCAATATTTTTCAAATTTTCTTATATTACATGTTTGCCTTAATAGGTATCGTGCTGTCTATATGATGTGAAGGGGATGGTTTATAAATGCCCGTTTCATTTTAACAATATCTACTTACATAACAAATATCAATTTGAGTTTTCAATTTTCAACAATACGTTCTTTCCTGTGCCTTATTCTGTCTGATTATAAATCGACTCTCTGAAGTGCTTACCGATATCTAAAATGAACATAATCTGTTTAGTACGCTTTAAGAGATCGATTAGCGCAAAGCATGGTTCTAGTCACAGACGTATGTGGCATAGTAGTTATATATCACGCTTTATCTAGTACCCGAATTATCAATAGAAGGAAGCGTGTTATTTTACTCAGTTTAAAACGCAAAATAAAGAGGAGGACTATATACAATTTACTCAACACCTTTAAGTTCCATGTTGTACAATCGCCTGATTAAGCTAAATATGAAGGTGGGCGAACTTTTTTTAGATAATACGCCACTATCCTATCTATTATCTGTTCTTGTACCATCTAGAAACATCTATATTTATGTAACAGTTTTAACTTTTAACATGTCACTTGAGTAACGTTATAGTTTAGTCCGATGTGCTCGGCTTTTGTGACAAAGAAATAAAAGACCAAGGTCATGCCGTCCTAAACTCTGGGCTGCTTGTTATGATTGCGTTTTATATATCAGAGTCACTTTTTGAAATGCCATCTCGAAATACGCGGGTAAAACAGGTTAAAAATGTGCATTTTTGCTGATACACGGTGGTCAAATTTGGGTCCCGATCTCCCAACCTGCTGTAGAACCTGAACCATGTTCGATCTGACGTAATTCGAACAGAACGTTGTTCGAAATGTGGTCACCTGCGGTCATTTACAGTAAACCTGGGTCTTCTGGCCCCTCTTTACACGTGTACCTCCTAACATAAAAAAATACACATTTTAAAAAATATATAATAATTTCCTGGACAGTACATGTCTGCAAGCATTTAATTGGGCAAAGAACATGAATCCAAGCAACTGCCGTCATTGTGGGTGACCTTCAAGATCGCAATACTTGTACCCGCCAGCATAAATAAACACTCCTCATAGTTATACCGTATGACATGCGTGCAAACTCGTTTAAGATTGGAAGCATGGAGTATCGCATTATCTCATTGACCGCTCAAAATGACCGTAATGGGTTTGTCCTGAATCATGTTTGAGAGATTTAAAAAAAAATGACCTTGATTTTGATGTATGAGCAATTGAGTGTGAAAATGTCATTTTTTTACCTTTATGTTGACAAAAAAGAATTTAATTAAAATCGGAAATTGAAAAAAAAAAACCTTAGACACGAGTATTGATCTTATTCCTAGTCGTCAAAAAATGTAAAAATCGGGGATTTTGGGTGCCTAAAAACGTGACCCGGAATGACTCGGACTGGTGCCCAGAATCCCGAAAAAAACTTATCTTGGGAGCGAAATTAAAAAAAAAATCAGTAATTTAACGTAATAAACTAGCATTGAAACTATGTTAAGACGATACTTTCATTTTATTTTGACGGAATTTACCCTTTAATGCTATTTGTTTATTTTCATATGTTTTAGAGGCAGTCCAAAACAGGCCATAGTTATACCGTCCTGTAACACGATACTTTTTGGATACCCCTAGCAATAAGTACTAGCAATGGGAAAGAATACCGTAGTAACAGACCACAGTGTATCTAAATGTAGACCTTATTTGCATAATCTACGAGGAAATGCCATAATGGCAAGCATATATACCCTTGTGAGCCGTCAGGTTAGTAGTGGTGAAGGTATGAGGATGTGGAACAACCTGCAAGTTTTTTTTTTTATTTTTATTTTTATTTTTTTTTATTTGCAAATTCAACAAGGACAATACAAGACAAGGTGGTGAGGTACTCTAGCTATACCTAATTTTAGCCTCACCACCAAACATCTTACTTTTAAGTAAGATGTCACGGGTAATAAAGGTAAGATGTATTACACGGGTAATCAGGCCTACTATTTCACCTTTGACCTACTTGCGTTGACCTCTGACCTCACGAAGCCACAGAAGAACAAAGAAAGCTGTCACCCGAGTCCCGGCTTACGTGAAAAAAAAATACGCCATAGGAAGCAGGTAAGGCTAAGAGGTAAGGGGTGATGAAGTCTGATGTCCAGGGCAATAGTTTGAGTTCTTTCTGTAAGAGAAGGACCGCGTGTAGGGCTATAATTTACAGAATTTTTCAGGATGTGAATATGTATATGAATATGGAGGGTAAAAATGAAGGAGAAGGGGGGGCGGCATTCCCGTGCACACTATACGGCATCCAATAGGTTTCTAGCGGGACTAATAAAAGGGCTGCTGAAAGGTCACCGACTATCGCGGCTATATATTAGCCAATGACGGCCGACGACTCGGCTATTAGCACCTTGTTTCGTGTAAATGCTATATGAACTCAAACCAAGTTGGCTTCATTGCGTTATCAAATAAAATGTTATCTGCCTAGTCGTGATTGTATTAAAAACTGTTTTATTGTGCAGTTTTTTAAAAAACAGCCAGCAGGATTATGAAGATATCCGTTCTCAATACACATGCTGTAAACTAAAGTAATGGAAGTCCTACGAAAATTCTCTTTGTAATGTATATCCGACGAACAATGCGTGTGAAATATGTTTTCGCCCATCGTGTTCCAACGGATCATTTGCTACTCTGCAAGTGAAAGAACTATTTCGTGGGCCTTGATAAATTATTCATAAATCTACTGGATGGTATTCAGTGGCAGCGGGGCGAACCTCATGGGACACATTATTATTCACTGTACTTTACTACGTCATGGTGTATCAGGCAGTGTCTTTTTCTGGAGTAATATAGAAGTATAGGACGTTTAACCATGCTGTTAAGAAAGGCAAAAGGCAAGAGTTAAACAAGAGTTCCATGATCTCATACCTTCGCCAAATGACGTTAACCCTTCCGGTGGACGAATTTTATGTTTTTACTTATTGATTTTGAAAATATGAGCCTCTTTGCATTGATTATATCATTTGATCCTATTCTCCACCCAATGACAGCCTTATCTTAACCAAAAAAGGCTATTCTAGCACCTCCTTAAATAGTATGCAAATGAGGTCATGATTTGAATAATTCGTGACCCTAGTATGCTGCAGCACCATCAAAAGCCGCCAGGAGGTCCAAAATCTAATCATTTCTAAGTCTCATCAAGACCTACCCACCTACTATGTTTCATGACAATGCATGTAAAGCTTCTTTAGTAATGCTGTTCACAAACAGACAAACACTACCAAAAACATTACCATCTTGGCGAAGGTAATAAATTTAGAAAACACCTATAATAGGTATGCGAAAACAGCGCTAGCGAGGTAAAGCTTAGTAGCTAAAGGCGTAACCAACTGGCTAGTCCAATGGGTTCTACGCCCCCAACGCACAAGTCTGTGAAGGAGACTAAGTGTTATATAGCGAACCAGGGGTCGTGGGGGAGGTGTTTGCAGTAATCCGTATTGTTTGTAAATTAGAAATTAGATTGTCCTTACTGTTTAATATATACATTTTTGTGTCATTTTGAAATAGAAGTAATACATAATCTTTGATCTTCTTAGCTCGGTAAAGTGATCAGAGTGAGTGATTATAATTATATTTCACACTAAATTTCTAAATTGTAGCAAATTTATTCTTATGTGAAAAAGGCAACATATCCTTCCATCACGAAAAAGTTAGGTTTCTAGTTGTAATTCATTAGGTTGAAGTTGTATAGCTAGTGGGAACTGGACAAGCTGTAGACCTAATTTGATCATTTATAGTTTTTTTAATGATTGCTTTTTTCATTTTTATTAGGCTCAACATGGCATCAGCAGGACACGGGTCTCCCACCGAGGTTGGTAACTCATATGAAGGGTATCCCATTGGGGTTTCTCAGGTCAACTGTGACAGCAAAACAAGC